TTCTGGGCTGGAGAAAAAACTCTCCCAGGAACAGCCTTTGGCTGAAGAGAATCAAGTGCGAAACATGGTCAACAAAAACTGTAACTATAAGTCCAATCAAGGCAAAAATGAGGTAATTAGTCCGGCAGGGCAGGAGAAGGAATTCCAGATATGATGGAATAGTAATAATTCCACACAGCTGGGAAGATGCCAGGAACGCAGATAACTAAAGTCAACACAAGATAAACTCATGTTTGTTCCCAGCAGTTGCTGTGTTCAGCATGCATCTCTTTTAAACTCTCTTCCCAGCTGTGGCTAATGAAGGGAATCGGGGCCCTTTCCTTCCCCGTAAGCCACACAACTCATGTTGCTCCCTTCTCCGTTCCTCCCTGCATGCCCTAGGATGAAGAGAGGGTGGGCCTGGGTCTTCCTCTGAACTCCCTCTCCCTTGTTTTATCTCTCCCCTGCTCTGCCCAGCCGGACTTTGCCCTTCCCCAGTTTCCTCCACAGCCAATGGAGCTACACTCCCACTCTGTCAGCTGTTTGTCTTCCTCCTTGGATTCAGACTCCGACAGGGGCATGACACATATGCGTGTGTATGTGTGTGTGTATCCAGAATCCCCCAGCTGGCAACCCTGATTTAGGAAGCAGTTCCACTTACAGGGTTGGTTGGGCTCTTCTACCTCCAAGGAGGTCTCTCTGGACGTGAACCTGTGGTCCGAGCAGATGAACCAGGCAACCCTTTCGAACGGGGCGTGAGAAGTGCCCTCGAAGAAGCAGTGGGTGTACGTTGGTCCTGCTGTTTATTGGACTTTCCTGGGCGAAATCGATCCGAAGTATCATACAGCCTGGTGGGAGACTGGGAACGTGGCCTTCTCAAGACTTGGGTGGCCCCATCTGAAGAGCCCTCAGGTGGCTTCCCGAAAGAGATTCCTGCTTTGTGGTTGGCTTCAAATCTGCCCTTCACCGTAGAGGTGATCCCTTCCTTTTCCAGACGGTGAAACAGGACTGGCCGGTCTCTTGGAGCCGAAGGTGGAGTCCAAAGCAAAGGACGAAGTTTAGCCACATCTTCTTGGGTGGCCCAGGAGGTTCTCCATTCGTGTCCTCCCGGCTTGGACCCAAACAGAGTCTCGTCGCAATAGGATGGCGTGTGGCTTTTCAACCTTCCGGAAAGAAAAAAGAGTGACAGATGTCAGCGGGGGGAAAAAAGCTTAACTTCTCTTGAGTTTTAGTTCTGTCTCATGCGTGAAAGTCGGCTCGGTGACTTTAGTCCAATCACTAGGAGATGGGGAGTTCTAGTTCCACCTTCGGCATGAAAGCCAGTTGGGTAACTTTGGACCAATCACTAGGAGATGATGAGTTCTAGTACTGTGTTAAGCATGAAAACCAGCTAAGTAACTTTGGACCAATCACTAGGAGACAGTGAGTTCTAGTCCCATATTAAGCATGAAAACCAGTTGGGTTAGTTTGGACCAATCACTAGGAGACAGTGAGTTCTACTCCCTTATTAAGCATGAAAGCCAGCTGGCTAACTTTGGACCAATCACTAGGTGATAGTGAGTTCTAGTCCTGTCTTAGGCATGTAAGCCAGCTGGGTAACTTTGGACCAATCACTAGGAGATGGTGAGTTCTAGTTCTGTATTAAGCATGAAAGCCAGCTGGGCTGGGTAACTTTGGACCAATCACTAGGAGACGGTGAGTTCTAGTCCCACCTTAGGCATGAAAGCCTGCTGGGTGAATTTGGGCCACTCTAGCTGTGACACAGCTCGACAGGCTGTTTTGAAACGCACAAATAACTGTACGTCGTTCACCTAAGATACTTTCTCTTTGAAGCACTCTGTCACCTTTCCCTTATTGCAAAAAACAAAACAAAACAGCACCCCAAATGTGGCCTACCTGTATTTATTCCTCTTCCGTGGAGTGCCGACCGATTGGGGGGATTTCAAAGGACTGGAATCCACCTGCCTGGTGTCCGGACTCCACAGCAGGGGTCTTTGACCAGGAGCCTTGGCCTCTTTCCAAGGGGGTTCAAACTCCGGGCCGGAAGGTTGGTGCTTTCCTTGATTACCGAAGAGCGATTCGTCCACAAAGGAGGCCGTGGCCTTGATCCTCCAGACCCGCCCTTTGCGTTGCAGAGGAGCTCCCAAGCCTGCCGAGGCCTTCATGGAACTGACTGGGGCAGGAAGAAACTCTCATCCATGAACAGCCACCTACTGAGAATTGTGGAACGGAAATAGGACGGATTTCATGTTAATAGTCTAGACCGGGTTTTATACCCAACTTGCTGTATCTGAATTGCCAATCCCCAAAGGACTCCAAAAAGGACTCCAGGTAACCCCTTCTGGCTATTTATAGGTTGCTCAATTTTTTGGAAAACCTACCCATGGTTAGGGGACTCACCCACCAATAGGGGACTGGAGACGGAAACATATGAAGAACGGTTACAGGAACTGGGCCTGGCTAGTCTAGGGAAGAGAAGGAGACAGGATAGCAGTCTTCCAATATTTGAAGGGCTGCCCCAGAGAGGAGGAGGGGGTCAAGTTATTCTGCAAAGCACCTGTAGGCCAGACAAGGAATAATGGATGGAAACTGACCAAGGAGAGATTCAGCCTGGAAATAAAGAGAAATTTTCTGACAGTCAACCGAACAGAAGTTGCCCTCGGAAGTTGTGGGAGCTTCATCCCTGGAGGCTTTCAAGAAGAGACTGGACTGCCATCTGTCAGAAATGGTGCAGGGTCCTTGGGTGGGTGGGGGGGGTTGGACTAGATGACCTACGAGGTCCCTTCCAATTCTGTTCATCTCACCTTGGCACGGAAAGGACTCGCCTGCGAACGGATTGCTTTGCAACCCCGGCAAGGGAAGCGGCGCGCCTCCGGTTCCCCCGGGAGACGCAGCCGCGCAAGGAAGGGGGCTCTTGCGGCCAGGCGCTTCCCCCTTCTCCCCGCCCGGCTGCAGCCCCGCAAAACGGACCCCCCGCTTGCCGCCAAGCGGCCCGCAAAACGGAACAACCCCCCCCACCCCGCGACTGACCTGCGGGCAGAAGGACGCGTCCGGCGCCTTCCCGGCTCTGCAGCGCGGCGAGTGTGGCGCAGGCAGCTGGACCGGGCTTCCGAGGAGGAGCTAGTCTGTCCCCACCCACCCCCCTCCCACCGACGATGGGATCCAGCCTGGTGATCCCTTTGGAAGCGAGGGGGGCAGAAGGGAGGGAGAGAGATCATGTATACACACCGATGTAAATTTATGTATGTGCAGAAATAGATCTGTATATGTGTATGCACTACATCTATATTTGTTTATATGTATGTATTTATATACATCTATCTTTCTATCTTCTACATGATTTATCTATATATCACCTACCTATCATCTATTCATATCTTTCTGTCTATCTACATACCTACCTACCTATCATCCATCCATCCATCATCTATCTATATGCATGTATCTATCATTTATTTATTTATTTGATTTGCCAATTGTTTACAAGATAATAAGTATAAATGTATACATAGTTGTGAATACATGAAATGGTTACATATAAGAAAAATAAAAGAATAAGAGAAACAATAGGACAGGGACGGTAGGCACGTTGGTGCGCTTATGCACGCCCCCTACATAACTATCATCTACATAACTATCCATCTATATCTACCTATCATCTGTCTGCCTAACATCTATTCATGGCTGTCTTATCTACTTGCCTGCCTGCCTGCCATCCACCCATCATCTATCTATATCTACCTATATCTATCTATCTATCTATCTATCTATCTATCTATCTATCTATCTATCTATCTATCTATCTATCTATCTATCTACCTACCTACCTACCTACCTACCTACCTACCTACCTACCTACCTACCTATATCTATCATCCATCCATCCATCCATCCATCCATCCATCCATCCATCCATCCATCCATCCATCCATCCATCCATCTATCTATCTATCTATCTATCTATCTATCTATCTATCTATCTATCTATCTATCTATCATCTACCTACCACCCATCCATCATCTATCTATCTATCTATCTATCTATCTATCTATCTATCTATCTATCTATCTATCTATCTGTCTATCTATCTATCATCTATCCATTTAACTATCCATTTATCTATCCATTTATCTGTCTATCCATCCATCCATCATCATTATTTGTCTATATATCTATTCTATTTCTATCATTCTCTATCTCTATATTATATATCTATTCATACACACACAAACTTCCCTTTTACCAGCCCATATTCCCTAAATTACATGCATATTACCATATGCGCTGTATAGTGTGCAAATGTACGTACTGTTTAAGAATCAGTTTGTTTCAGAAATATTGTATGCATGCAGACGAATATGCAGAAATTTATATATGCATCCATACATCAATATATAGGAGGAAGGGGCCTTCAAGTGGACAGAGTGGCTAAAACGATGATGTATGTATGTATATGCCTTAATTCTCCTTTCTTTCTTTCTTTCTTTCTTTCTTTCTTTCTTTCTTTCTTTCTTTCTTTCTTTCTCTTTCTTTCTTTCTTTCTTTCTTTCTTTCTTTCTTTCTTTCTTTCTTTCTTTCTTTTCTTTCTTTCCTTCCTTCCTCTCTCTCTCTCTCTCTCTTTTTGTTTCTTTCCTTCCACTCTTCCACCAACCCAGCCTCTTATACACATATATGTACAAATACATACTGCATATACTTATTCCAAAACTGAACCCTGAAATTTCTAAGCAAGAACGAAAAAGCCCCGCCGAAGAAAGGCGATTCAAAGGCACCCAGGAGGTGCTGAGCGAACCCGAAAGTGCCTTCCCAAATCGGAAGAAGAGACGATTCTGCAGGTTTTCCCTTTCGTTTCTCTACGGAAGCTCCTTTTCCTTTCCGCCTTCGGATTGACCGCGAGGCTAGCCATCCCCGGGCTTAACGCAAGCGCGCAGGCGGGACTTCGCAACGGGACCCGCCCACCGATGCACCAATCAGAGACCGGCTCTCCTCCAAACCCCGCTCCGCGGTACTTCCTGTTTAGCGCACGTGGCTTCGCCTGCCAGGAATCAGCTGCGATGGCTCCGGCTTTTGGGTCGGGTCGGAGGAGGAAAAAGCAGCGTTGGTGCAAAACCCGGGAGCCCGACGAGGATCAGGTAGGGGAAGATGGGCTGGACTAGCGTTCCCATCATCCCCAGCTATAGCATGGGAACTGCAGTCCAAGTTCCCATCATCCCCAGCCATAGCATGGGACCTGGAGTCCATGGACTCTGGAAAGAGTCGGGCTGGGGGAAGCATAAAGGGGTGGGGGGCTGCCCGGGATCACATCTGTGGCTTTCCCCAGAGGTTGCCCACTCTGAGCATGTGTGCGAAGGAAGCATGCTGGGAGTTGTAGTTTAAGAACATCTGGGGGAGATGCACCTCCTGAGACTTGTAGGTGGGACCCTACAAATGGATAGTGAAAGGGTTGCATCTTTGCTCCAGAAGGGAAAGCTGGATATCAATCAATCAATCAATCAGAATGGAACTGGAAGGGATCTTGGAGGCCTTCTAGTCCAGCCCCCTGCTTAAGCAGTAGAACTTATACCATTTCAGACAATTGGCTGTCCAGTCTCTTCTTAAAAACCTCCAGGGATGGAGCTACTCACAATTTCTTGTGGCAAGCTGTTCCCCTGGTTAATTGTCCTCATTCTTAGGAAGTTTCTTTTTAATTCCAAGTTGCTTCTCTCTTTGGTTAGTTTCCATCCATTGCTTCTTGTCCTGACTTTGGGTGCTTTGGAAAATAAGTTGACCCCCTCCTCTTTGGGGCAGCCCCTCAAATATTGGAAGACTGCTATCATGTCGCCCCTCTAATCCTTATTTTCTCTACACTGGCCATACCCGAATCCTGCAACCGTTCTTGGTATGTTTTAGCCTCCAGGCCTTGAATCATCTTCGTTGCTGTTCTTTGCACTTTTTTCCCCCCAAAGTCTCGAACATCTTTTTTGTCATGTGGCGACCAAAACTAGATGCAATATTCCAAGTGTGCTCTTACTAAGGCTTTATAAAATGCTAATAATACTTCACGTGATCTGGGTGCAGTTCGGTGAAAACCCCCAAACGATATCAATTTAGGAGCCTTTCCAAGTCCCCACCAACCAGTCACAGTCACCCCTAGTATGTTGCGAGGAGAGAAGAACTGAGTGTGCCTACTGGAGACCCTCCCAGCAGCCCAGATCTGAAAATTTCCATTTTTCCTTATTTCTGTTTAAAGGACTACGAGATGCCAGAAACTGCTTTCTCCAAGTCTGATGGTGCTTCCGATGTTGAGTTCGATACCCAGGAAATGGTTCGTGCCCAGAACAAGAAAAAGAAGAAATCGGGAGGTTTCCAGTCCATGGGTAAGTTAAGGAGTTCTGAAGTGGATGTTTTAAAGGGAGTGATAACTTTTTATTTATTACTTAGCTTGTGGCAACTACAGAGGTCATGCGGTCACTGATAGACAAATTTACTTTAAATAAAGAGTCAGCAAATTACATGGATGGATGGATGGATGGATGGATGGATGGATAGATAGATAGATAGATAGATAGATAGATAGATAGATAGAATGGATAGATGATGGATGGATGATAGATAGATAGATAGATAGATAGATAGATAGATAGATAGATAGATAGAATGGATAGATGATGGATGGATGATTGATAGATAGATAGATAGATCCTTTTGGCATCTTTCTGCCCCCTAGGTCATCTTGTCCGATAGTCTCTTGGACGGAGGCCACAAATGCAGCTGCCAGACCCAACCTGCCTCTTCTCACTGACTGTCCCCATGTTGCTCCCCATACAACTACAGAGAGTGTAGGAGACATAGAAAATTGAAGACAAGGCCATACAGGTTGTCCTTAAGTTACAACGCTTCGTTTAGTGACCGTTCAAAGTTACAACGGCACTGGGGAAAAAAGTGACTTAGGGCTGTTTTTCATAGTTACGACCATTACAACACCCCCATAATCAGAAGCTTGGCAACTGGTTCATACTTATGACCATTGCTGTGGTTGTCGTGGCCCGCCAGCAGAGCTGGCAGCATACTCGAACAATGAGGAGGTTGGGGAGGAACATGGGCCAGTCCTGGAGTCTGGGGAAGGCTCAGCTGCCTTTGGAGTCGGAGATCAATGGGGAAGAAGAACAGCTGGAACCTGTTCCCGGTGTGCGCATGCACAGAGCTGCCAGGAGAAGGGAACAGCTAAGGAACAAAGGTCAACTCGGGAGTAAAGCCACAGGTGGACAGTGAAGGCCCCTCCCATAGGGAATAAAAAGGAGCGAAAGGGGAGTGAGGTTTTGCAGGAGACAATTAGTTCAATTCATTAGAGTGAAGATCTGTTCATGACTCCTTGCCAAGTATTTTCTGCTCCAGCGTGGCGTTTGGAAGCTATCGACCTGGCAACTCTCCAAGCTTGATAAAGATCTATAGTTGTAAAATCTCTTGAAAGACTTGTTGGCCGGGACTTTGCTTGAGAGGAATTCACTGTAAACTAAATAAAAGGGGTTGTTTTTTTTGTCAGGACAGAGGAGTCTGCTTCACAATTTTGGGAAGCCTAGATCAAAACAGAGGTCCCAAGATTCAATAACCCCCTTTTCTTAATTTCTTCCATCTTTGCAACTTGCTGGCGTGCTAGGAAGACCTAAGAGTGTCTCTCTTGAGCTTGAAAAGAACAAAAAGGGAAAATATCTCTTACCTTGGTTTTCTCGCTCCCCCAGGTCTCGGCTATCCGGTGTTCAAAGGAATTATGAAAAAAGGGTACAAAATACCCACGCCCATCCAGAGGAAGGTGAGAACACGGGAAGCCCCTCACCCAAACTTCTTTAGAATCATGTTTTTTTCTTCCTCCTCGAATTCTGCTTGGTCAGATCCATGAAACGGACCCTAAATCATCTATCCATTAGTGAGAAAAAGGACTGGAACAGTGTTAGCGAGAGAGAAACGTAGGAAGAATGTCTTCTCCTCTTGGGATGGCCTTGAAGGGCCTAGTTTCCTGTATGCTTTATCAAAATTTATACGGTGGTTGTGGAGGAAACTGGGGAGAAGGGCACAGGCCAGATGGGCATTCAGAGGAAGGCCCAGGCCCTCTTCATCCTAGGACACGCAGGGAGGAGCAGATAAGGGAGAAACATGAGCGGCGTGATCTATGGGGGAGGAAGGGGCCCTGATCCCCTTCATGGGCTGCAGCTGGGAGGACTGTTTAAAAGGACAAACTGTGCATGGCAAAGTTGCTGGAAGCAAAAGTGTGCCTTCTAGTCGGAGCTTATCTGTGTTTTGGGTTCCTCCCAACGGTGGTTGCTGCATTATCTGGTAGAAGTCTGCAATTAATCATCCTTGCCTGCCGTATAGTCATTCCTTCAGTGTAGTTTGTGTTGGGTTTTTTGTTTTTGAATTAAGTTTACTTTGGGTGAGGACTGCATTTACTCCCTCCGTAAACTGTTTTCTTTAAGAGTTTGATATCCAGCCGAGGATAACTGGACACTGGGGCCACGTTAGAGGCATTAAAGGGACTTTCTTCTATTTTTGTGACTTGGTTATTTTTGTGTCAGGCTCCAGGTCATCACAGCTCCATCACTTGGAGGCTTTTAAGAAGAGACTGGGCAGCCTGGCCAGAATGGCAGAGACTCTCCTGCTTGACCAAGGGTGGGGGGGTTGGACTAGAAGGCCTCCAAGGTTCCTTCTAACTCCCTTATTCTGTGATTTCTCCCTTAACTACCTGGGTTATTTGTAAAGCTGTGATTTAAAAACTGGGCAGTGTGGCTGTTGGATTTCCCTCCTCTTTCCTCACTTGGAAGTCGGCTTCTTCTGCAGACCATTCCTTTGATCTTGGACGGCAAGGATGTGGTGGCCATGGCGAGGACCGGAAGCGGGAAAACGGCCTGTTTTCTGATTCCCATGCTGGAGAAATTGAAAGCCCGCTGTGCCAAGACAGGAGCCCGAGCTCTCGTCCTGTCTCCAACCCGAGAACTTGCTCTGCAGACTCTTAAATTCACCAAAGAGGTACTTTCAAAAATCAGAGGGAGAAGTGGGCACTGGGGAACTCAACCACGGCCCCTTGGGGGCTGGACTTCAGCCTGATTAGCACTGATGATGCTACTTAGTTGGGTAAGAAAATGTCTGCATGAAAACTATAAAGCTCAGAGGGCATAAGGACTACAGTCCTCTTCCTCCTCCCCCTCCCCCTTATAAACACCACTCCCTTCTAGCCTGGATGATGTTACCTAGTTGGGTAAGGAAATAACCACCAAGGACTCAACAATCCTCCTCCCCTTTCCTTCTCCTCCTCTCCGCAAACCCCATTCCCTTGTAGTACTGATGATGTTGGGTAATGAAACGTCTGCAAGAAAGCAACCAAACTCAGAGAGCCCTAGAAACCCCTCATTTCAACCCTGAGCTACAAAGATTCTCCTTTTTTTGGAATTAACTTGGCATTCAATTCTCCTTCCTCTTTTTCCTGCAGCTGGGTCGGTTTACCGGCTTAAAAACCGCTCTGATTCTCGGAGGTGACAGGTCAGTTGTGTATTGACATGCATGCTTTAGGTGCACAAATGTGCGTTGATGCTCAATAAGCACTTAGACTTACGTACCGCTTCACAGTGCTTTACCTATTTGTCTTTAATTGTTCTTCATTTCACGGTTTAAAATATATAATAATTTTTAATTGATCTGCTTCTCTGTAGCCAGAAGTCGGAATGTATGTATAAATTATCTTTGACCATTGGCAAGATTGGATAGAGAAGATACAGCACTGAGTTTAGCATTGCCAGAAATGATAAGGAAGTTTAACTTTGTTTTTGATTTATCTGTTCACTAAT